GATGGTACCTCTGCTACTGATTGCACTGTCATTGTGGGTCATTAATCTCTGCCTAGCTCTGAGCCTTCCAAATAAGCACTCTGCCATTGCTCTGCACCTGCCACAGCTGTACCTGCACCTCTGCATCTGTGGGATCCAGGCTGGCTCTGCAGACCTGGAAGCCGGGGGAACATGGGGCTCCTGGCAGTCATTATGTGAGCAGGGTCCACGAATGTGTCTGTCCACCTGGGGACATTTAGCTGCAATTGTCCAAAGAGATGGGTTTCTACAGAGTGACTTTCCATGATAAGCTCTTGTGTTTTTCAGCTGGGGCAGTCACTGATTTTTGTGCTATGAAAGCGTTTCTTAGGCTGACAGTCTGGGGCTTGCGTGTTCAGACTGCTGTCAGGTCTAGGTGCACAGGAAGATCTTTACTTGGAGCTGTGTGGTTACATCAGCTCTGCCTGGGCAGCAGCTTGGTCCCAGCACCCATGGTCCCCTGGGACTGTGCTGCTGGCAGACGCTGTGAACTGGGTTGTTCCATAATTTAGAAGACAGCCCAGGGCATCTTGTAGACCTGGCACAGATCCCACGAGCTGAGGGTGTTGCTTACAGTCAGGCCACGGGCTGTTCCTTGGACGCTCTGGCCACAGAGATTTTGGCAGCAACACTCCCAGGTTCCTGCAGAACATGTTACCTGACCCTTGAAGGAGTGCAGGCTTACCCTCCAGCCTCTGTTTTGAGTAAGTCACAGAGGCAGGTGAGTGCGGTCCCCACTTCCTCCAGGACACCTTGCCAGGCCCTGGTGGCTGTGTTGACTCTCCCACAAGACCTGTGCTGGGAAGGGGAGAAGGATACACACAGGATGGTGAAATAAGTAGGGCAGGGCTGGTGACTACACACCCACAGTCCAGCTTGGAATACGACTGTGGGTGCAGAGAGTGATCAGAGGAAGGTAGTTTGTTGGAACAGAGTCAGCTGAAAATTTGAGCCAATGTCTCCTTTCAGTAGCTCCTTCTGTGTCTCAGTATCACTACTTTTTATTAGTTCCCCGGTATATTTTATTTTCCTATAGTTTTTTCTCTGTTTTTAGAGAAAGAGCTCGATTTATTTTGAAGTGCTGAAATACCATTTGTTCTGTTTCTGTTACTTTGAGCACCAGATTTGTCCTTCCTACACTCCCACGTAATCTTTTCTTCCTGTAGAGAGACGGCCTGAGTGTTTGAGGCAGGTCCAAATGCAAAATCAATAAAAGCTCATTGCTGTACATGTCATGGTATTAGAGCTCAGCAAGTGAGGCTCTGGTGGGCAGGATGTTGCCTCCAGCCCCTTATCAGGCAGTGACCACACTCTGGGCTTTGCAGCCCTGACACAGAGGGAGAAGTTGTTCTGCTGGTGCTAAGCAGCAATGGAATTAACATTGCTCTGTAATTTAGATGTGCTACCAGCAAGCCACAATAGTGACTCCTTTCCTTCTGAAAATCAAACAGAGCAGGCTTTGGAAACCTCTTCTGCAGGGATCTTACTCATTGACTATGAGACAGGGTATCTGAAGAGATTGTCCATTAATTATTATTGTTATTAATGAACATGTATGTTACCTCTTGACATTCTTCTTTACTGAGTACTTGGGATTTGTGGGTTCTTTTCTCCTTTAACCTTCCAGTTTCTTTTAGAAAAGTAATGTAAAAGAGAGACTTGCTTGTGTTAGGATTTTTTTTCTATTCCTTAATTCTGCAGATGTTATTCTTGAGTCATCTATCACTCCTAAGAGATGAATTTTGAAGGTTGTGAACTTTGCAGCTTACTGGGAAATCCTCTTCTGTAGCCAACCGAGTCAGGATTTATTATCTTTTCCGCAGTTCTTTCTGGAAAGGGAAAATACATACATTTGGTGGGCAAACTGGTTCTGGGCAATAAGAACAGGAAGTTTAAAAAATTAAAACAGACATAGAAGGCACTGCAGCATCAAGGCTGTATTTTAGATGAAGTAGTTTCTGTCTTTTATTTTATCTTCAATTCCTGACACGCAAATGGAATTTTTACGTATTCAATGATGCTTTTGCATTTGGGAGTCTGGGTTTTGATGTTTGGGACGTTCTTCCCAAGAAATAGGCCAGTAACACCAGCTTCCAGCACCCACAGTGCCCGAGGCATTCCTCATGACCAGCATTTCAGACACTCTGCCCCAGCTGGAGATCTGGGGGGATAACGTGGTGCCTAGAAAATGGTGCATAAAGAATGAACCTCGATTGCACAACAGAAGTTGAATAAAGAGGGTAGGGGGAGGTGGTTTTATGACACCATCTGCCTCTCTGATCTGGAGCCACAGTGTAAAACCGCGGCTCAAGCTCTTTACTCTAAGTTAACAAAAGCCTTTAAATAGGGTAACTAATGGGTCAAACGTATCTTCACTTGTAAGGTTAAGACCCACAAGTCATCATTTGTAAGAAAGTGAGGGGTGGATTGGTCGCTGGAGAGGAAAGACATTAAATTAAATGTGGTGAAGCAGCCACATGGGACCCCTTAATAGTTTCTGAGTATTATTTTTTCTTAATGAAATGCAGCTTAATGCAATCCCACCCTCCTAGCCTGACAAACACCGACTCTGGCCTGCTGAAGGTTGTCATGCCACTGCTGCCTTTTAAATGATACTGTGCTGCTTTCTTGTCACTTACAGCCCCTGGTTTTTGACGTAAACAAGGGAGTATGTCAGTGGGAAGCTGGGACTGTCAGACCTTTCAGTTTTGCTTTTCACCTCGTTGCTTGCTTACAACAAAAAGTAAGATATATTTAAGCGGGGGTTGTACAGAGACCCAGTGATGCATTAAAACCAGGCAGCAAAAGTGGGGGGGAAAACAGCTGCGGAATATGAAATATGAATGGGCATCTGAGCCTCTGGAGGTCACACTTGAATAGGCAGTGTTGTATGAGGTGGATCCAGTGAGCCTCAGCCCTGGGTTCATCTGCTGGTCAGGACTCAGAGGATGCGTTGCTTTTTTGGGAGCAGTGAGTAGAAGTGGGTCAAATGCAGGCACCTGATTCATATTAAGAGCCATTAGAGGAAGGCTGAAAGAACTTGGATCTTAAACATGTCTTTTTAGCAAAACCAAAGGCCACAAACCATCCTTATAATTTTAGAGTGTGTGTTTAAACACAGCCAGAGCAACACTGTTACTGACCATTCCTCAGCAGCATCCTCATGGATGAAATGCTGGGCTCTCTCCTCTAATAGCTCGAGCTTCTTAGGAAGGGAGTTTAGTATGGATTTCTGTAGCCTCCCATCCTTCACCATTCTTCACTTTCTGTGCAGGAACTGTCATTTTTCCTGCTTTCAGTTTGGTGGGGAAGGAATGATCCTCCTCCTCAGACCTAGGTATGAATTGGACTAGAGACTCCTGCAAACAGCTCATCCCAGAAGAACCTGTCTACCATGTGGGGAACGCTTACATGTTAGTTTTAATGTTTCTAGGTCTCACAGATGTTGCAAAATAGATTTCTGCAAGTTGGCTCTTCCTTTGGTGCCTTCAGCATCTGTTAATTCTGTGCCTGGTGGCTGTTCCTCCTGTTGCTTGGGCTAATTGCTCAAAGATCCAAATATGTGCATCTCCTCTCCTTTTCTTCCTTCACACCAGTGAAGCACACTTGCTTCTGGGGTCTCTTTGGTATTTCTGGTCTCCAAGGCAGTGTCAGGTGGAGCCCTCGCTCTGCCTCATGGCTCTCTGCAGAAAGCTGGCAGAGGAACTGCCCCGTTCTTCGGGCAGAGCAGTCTGCTGTGTGTCACACACAGAGCACTCGTTTGATAACCCAACAGGCAAGGAGGGCAGAGGATTTATTATCACCATGCTTTGCTTCTTGGTGCCAAGGCACAGAATTGAAATGGTTTGTCAAATGTCTGCAGCGTTGAGGTTTTCTGCCTTTCTTTGTTTTTTTTTCTCTCTGTCTTTTATTTCACTGAGTGATTATTGTTTTGAGATAAAAAAGGTTTTAGTTCTGGCCAACAAGTTTTTAGCTTTTGTCTTCCTCTTAGAAGTATTTGGAGAGGAGACAGTATCTAATAGTGTTACTGAGATAGGAGCTGAGCTCAGTAGGAACACCAGGGAAGTTGGTTGGAACTGAGAAGCGGCAGGAAAAGAAAACTAGAGGTGATAAACATAGACTGAAAGATTTCTTGTTATCATGTAAGTATGTGTGGAAGAAGGTCAAAAAATCTGTCACCTCAAAGTAAATGTGCTTGGAAGTGAATGTAACCAATGTATCCCGCTACATCAGTATCCGTAGTGTCCCTCCTGCTGTCGTTTTCCGGGTTTGCTTTGATGTTATATTAATTCTGCAGATACAAAATGAATATATTTACCTGGGTGAGTTCCTTACTGTAAGTTAATGTTTGTTAACTATGGTAAGGATAGTCCTCCAACAATAAATGTAGAGAGCACTCACAAACCTATGAGATGGATGGTGAGATCTAAAATGACTCTGTTGCCCTGCTGTGTGTGCAGCTATTGCCTGGCTTTAATGCTGGAGTGAACGGCTCGAAGTCTTCCCTTCCTTAAGGGCTTTGCTAATCAACGTAATCTGCTTTATGCAACAGGACTGGAAGTCTAATTGATGTGTCTGTATAAAAGAAGACCCTGATAGTGGAACAGAATTTCATACCCTAGTTGGCATCTCAACAAAGAGGCGTGAGAGTGACCGGACGTGAAGTCAGAGTTACCCTTATACCCCACGATGGTGGTTCTCAAAGCAGGACCTGGTGGTGGTGGGGATGCTCACAGTGCCCAGCCTACTGCTTCTGCAGGCAGCAAAGCTGGCCAAGCTGGCGCTGCTGCAGCCTAAAAACTGTCTGGGGAGACACAGAGGATGCTGTACTCCAGCACAATCCCTTTGAAAACTTCTCAGAAAGGTAAATCCCACTTGTTGAAAGACTTGGCATCTGCTGTGATGAAAAGACGGGTGTCAGTGCCTGAGCAGTGACACGGGTCAGCACGTGTGTAGCACTTCAGGTTTCGTACGGAGCAGAATCAACGTGCTGAGGGCCTGTGCCTGGAACCCAGCAGAGAGGAGCAGAACTGGTTCAGAGCTTTTTGTAAAGGTGGTTCCCTAGGGGACAGTTCCCCCCCCCTCCACTGCCCCAAACTACTGCTGTAAGGCTTTTGTCTCTTCTCCCACCTGCAAGAGTCCTTGCAACAGCTGCAGAATGTGGATTTCCATATCCCACCATCAGACTCAGCTGTGTCCTGGAGAGATCCATCTCCATATTTTTCCTCAGGGGAAGCTGATTCTTTGATTGCACATGCTGTCCCACCCAGGGCTGGCTCTGGCTAGGGACATTAGTAATAAATAGTGTCTCCAGAGGGGCCTTTCAAGCTGGGACCACTCTGTTTGGTCCCATTTTGGCAACGGAAAGGTGAAAGGCCAGGGAATTCATCCATTTAAGGATTCTCTTAGGAAAGATAATATATTGTGTAATTAAATAACTGCCCCCACAAGGTTTTCAGGGGTAACAAGCTGTGCTCAAAATTAAACTCCAGTATGCTGCAATCACACTACAGCCTGCTTAAGGCAGGTGAAAGTCCTTGAGGTTATGGAGAGGGAATGACTCTGTAATTCTGGCCCCTTCTTTCTGAGTGTCAGTGGAAGTTGGTTGCCCAAGTGCGGTCATAACTGGGTTCGTGTGCAAACCCCATCTTAAACCTTTGAACTTGTTTTAAGCTAATCCATTTGTGCTTAATTCACAAACAGCTGGTCGATTTAAAGGGATTTTCATAGTGGAGTAAACAAGAGGAACATTTACACAGGGAGTAAACTATCCCGCTGTAAATTCCCTTTGCAATTGTTATAGCTATTTGTTTGTATTAGATCTTAACTTCCTCAGTGCAAAGCTAATCCTTCTTGATCCTGTAGTGAAGTCATGATCCTGTGTTTGATGTCACCATCTGTTGCCATAGAAGCAACCGTGATGTTGCAAATTAAACTTTATGACTTCATGGCAAGATAAAAGCACATCTTCAGCTGCTTGCAAAAGGGGTTAGGAATATTTCCATGAAGCGTATGGAAAATATGCCAGTTTAC